TCTTTGATGTTTTCAGGTCATTTTTGGTTTTCAATTTTCGAAAACACTCAAAACACGTTTACTTATCTATTTTCAGAAACGAATTTCCAAAAACGAGTTTAAATTTTTTTTTAAAAAAAAATGAAAAACGCCAAAAAAATCGTTTTGACTGTTTTCAGTTAAAATCAAACTAAAACTTCATTTTTTTAATTTTTGAAAACAATTTTTTAAAATGACAANCGAGTTTAAAATTTACAAAGAAAACGGAAAAAGCCAAAAAAGTCGTTTTTGTTGTTTTCAATTAAAACCAAGCCAAAACTTCATTTTTTTATTTTTGAAAACAATTTTTCAAAATGACAAAAAGAACGCGTTTTCAACAATCTCAAAATGGACACTTAAAACACAAAACTCAAAACTAAAATTTGAAACACGAATAGAACAATCCTAGTATTGTTAAGAGAAAATAAAATACGAGAAAAAAATATAAAAATGCGTCAAAAAATTTAGGGACAATTAAAGCTTTCACTGTATAAAAAATTTGTACAATCACATAGAATTTTATTCACTCTAATTCTCAGGTATTCTAGGAAAATTCCCCAAGTTTTACCATACCCACCATTTTTTACTATTTAACTACCCAACAAAAAAATCAAGAAAAATCATGATGCTAAGTTTAAATTTTTTTCCTTACAAAAACTCTCTAGCCACTTCCATAAAAGTGAAAAGTGAAAACTATCACAAATATATCTATATTAATATAAAAAATCATAGCCCAGTATGAAGACCCCAAATTTGGCTTAATCAAGGACTGCCAAATTAGTTCCTTATTAAATTGTAACACCTTCAATTGGATAAAGAACACAGCACCCACAAAAAAATAAAAATAAAAAAAGAATCCAACAACAAAAGGTAACTTTAATTGAATATATAAATACTTGTTACCTTCCTAAGTCCAATTGAAATCCCTTTATTTTTTTTGGCACTTCGAGTCAAAGTCTCGATACAAGCTACTTTAATGCTTGGCGATTTTCTAAACATCACTTTTCTTTACATCATTTTCAACCTCATATTCTACAAAAAAAGAAAAAAAAATTTATTTTCGATGTTAATTGTTTTCTGAAAACGTTTTTCTGCTCTTATCATAGGCCTGTTTGATCCCCATTTTTAGTATATAATATATTTTGGAATAGTAAATTTAGAGATGACAAACGGGTTGAGCGGCTTGTCGACTCGACCACTCGACTCGTCAAAATACGGCTCGTGAACCACTCGGGCTAGTCAAAAGACGAGCCCAAGCTGAGTGGGCTAGCTCGCCACGAGCCTCGTCCAAGGCGAAGGGTTTTTTTTTTTTTTTAAAGGTTTATCTTTAATTAAAAAAAAAAAATTGACGAGCTTGCGAGCCGAAGCTCGGCTCGGCCCATGAGAAAAGAGCCGAGTAGAAGCTCGGCTAGTGTGCATACGGGCCAAGCCGCTCGGCTCAGCTCGACTCATTGCCAACTCTAAGTAGACTGATGAAAAATGTGTGGTTAAAAAGAATACAGAGAAAAATGAAAATCACATAAGCCCATAGTCTCATTTTCAATTTTTAAAGATTAAACTTTCTTGCCTTCTCTTAGACGGTTTTAGCTTTTCATCGACCAAGAAAGTCTGGTGTACAACAAAAAATTAATTTCTTATTGACTTGATCATGTCCAGTGGTCCACTTGACTGCTAAATTTTCTTCACCATGATCTACAAAATCTTGAACGATAGAATAAGAAATTTAATTCTTTGCAGAGTTGGGGGAAGTTGCAAAGCTGAATAGCAGACGGGGTAAAGCGGGAATACCAATATTTTGACTTCGATAGCTTAGTCTTGCTTTATTAATATAAAATCGATTCAATTATTTTCAAAATATATTTTTATGTTTCTTTTCTTTTCAACTACATATTTTTCAATAAAATAATATTATATGTAAATTCAAAATTTTTTAACTACACATTATTCATCAATTTATCATTTCAAAATACGTTCTCAAAAGAAAATGAGGCCCAAACAAACTCGAGTTTTGTTACAAGTACAGGGCCTGTTTCACAACCCCTGCCAAGTTACACATTGGGGGTGGGGGTGGGGTGGGGAACATTTTTTTAAATACAGTGGGTGGGGCCGCCGCTATACTACCGGCCCCTGTTAAAAACTGCCTTGTACGCAGGGCATTTCCTAACAAACTAATAGAAAAAAGAAATGAAATAAGAATATAGTTGTAGGGATCACCAACCTTTTATGGTGTTTTCACTTTGGTGTCTAACGGAGCATTTATGTTCTTGATATTTTATTTTGCTAGGATTTGAGTATTTGATGGACGACTTTATCCTAAACTTTCAATAACAAGTCAAGATGTTGTACGAGTGATAATGTATTGTTTCTTTCTTATCCTCACTTGGTTTTATATTTGAATAATGCTCATTGAACAAGGTTATTGATAGGGTGGGGTGACGGGTGCCTTAGGGTTTTTTTTTTCAAACTGTCAAATCAAGCATTGACACGTGTTCCTTATATTTTTTAACCTATCATTGAGTATGTTTGTATAACATAACTCTTTATATTTATAATGATGGCTTTGGTATAAGCTTTAAATGGATGGAGAAACAACCCATTCATAAGATATTACATTAATAAGTAAATGATTCTTTAAAATATACATTTAATTTATAACCATGCATAAGATACAATAATAAAAAACCACGTTATACTTCATTAAACCATGCATCATTTACACTTCAATTAACATTCCTATTTTTGAACTTCATTTACACATCCGTTCTTCACAATATTCATTGCAAAAATGGAGATTTTTAAAGATATTTGTAAAATCAACACATTTTAGGTTCGTTATTCGTTCTACGCTGCATTCCTTAACTAGGATACATATCCAATTAAATGAGTATTTCTCTTTCGATATCAAGTAAAAAAATAGATTTTAATCTGACTTTTTTCACGTTGTTCAAATCATTAATTCGATAATTCTATATTTTTCACATATTTATAAAATCATCGATCGATTTCTTTACGTATTAGCTTCGATCATCCAAATCATCAAACTATCTTGTGAACAAATTCAAACAAAAACCTAAAAAAAAAAAAAAGAAAAAAGAAAAGCGTAAATATATAATTAATAAAACCCACTTCCCAACTTGGGATGTTTGTTAATTGTTTTGGAGTCCTAACCCAACTCTCATTACATCTGGACCTTACACGTGTCCATCAAAACGACCCTTGAGTATTATGATGGCGGTGATTCACATAACTTCTCCTTTT